ATTTATTTATTTGGTACAGGGTCTTTCTATGTAGCTTGGACTCATAGTGATCTTCCTGTCTCAGCCTCTGCAGTCCTGGGATTACAGGCATGTGCCACCACACATAGTTTTAGTGGCTGACATGGCACGGTATCTGTGAGGTATGCAGTACTGGGGATTGAACCTGTGTCCTTTCCAGGCAGGTGCTTAGACAGCTGAGCTACCTCCCCAACCCCAAGAAAGGCATTTAACAGCTGATGAGAAAATGATTCTTCTGCTTTCATAGAATGCTCAATTTAACAGAAAACTTAAATACATTTTCATCCTTTCCATTATCCCCCACAGATCTTGATTTAATTCACTGTTTTCTGAGGGCTAACTTTGACAATGCACTGATATGATAATCCCGTCAACTTTGGTGAATTACATTGAGTTAAAATTTCAATCAAGGGAGGAGAATATAGCTCAGTAGTACAGTGCCTGTGTGGCAAATACAAGGAAAACATGAGAGGAAAGATCCCTGAGGAGCTACGTACTAAATGAGTCTCCCTTTGCATCTCATGTCACCTAACATGACACCACACTAGCTGTGTAACAGACTCTACAAAGAGAACTGAACAAATTTCATCTCATGAACAGAAATACTTTACACTAATACACTTATATTTCACACTGATTCTGCACATATTCTGAAAACACAGTTTAAACAAGGAAACCATACCAACCGAAACAGCTGTCTTTTCTTAAAGGTCTCATTGCATATGTTATTGTCTTCCAAGAGCCTACTGGAAATGAAAAACACGATTTTTATGACATAAAACCTAAGAGTATTGAATTCCTTATGTTAAATGGATGTGTATTCAAATATAGAACACCTCTGCTTATCAATCAACTCCACACAACTGTTTTTATTTGGACAATGTTAAAGTTTGCCATATTTCATTAATATCTGAATGGCAGGGTTGAAATTGCTGTACTAGGAGTAAAGCACTGATGATAAATAAGGAGCAGAGAGCAAAAAAGCAAAAGGAAGAAATAAAGGAGAAGAGCAGAGTAAAAGAAATTTACATACATAGACATGATAGAGATTTGATCCAATATATTAGATGTGTATTTTTTATGATAACACTAAAGTTATGTTTTTATCTTTTGTGCCTGGTGAAACACTGACATTCCAGAGTGGAAGATTCTAGGAGATATCATTTTTATAGGAGAGGCATAAATTTGAATTCTAATTCTTGGAATTATCAAGACTTTTTCATACACCCAGTACATATACCTGGGAAATTATTGTAATATTGATTTTAATCTAATTTACATATATGGAACACTGAAGTGTAAGTATAAGAATTAAGAAGTAAGGTAGAAAGCATGATTGGTTAGAGCAGTAGATACTAAGATTTCCCACCAAATAATAGTAAATGCTCACTTCTCGTGTGGAACAGGTATAGAAATTAGGAGCGCTTCAGAGTCACGGCTAGGATGTCAAGACCCATGGATTCATAGTTTTAATGAATTTTTAAATTGTTTTTAGTTCTTCACATGGATTTGTTTTGTAATTTTATTCCACTTTCTAAAAGAAGCTGCTCTCTTAAAAGGTTTCATTATCTATAGATTTCTAACTGCTAATAAGAATGATGCATTTAAAAAAATCAGTTACTGCTAATGCCCAGCTTAAATTTCTCTCAGAACTGACACTGAATCAGTCTTGATTTGATTCAGTTTTATAGAGATGCCCATTAAGCAGCACCTCAAATAAAATTAGCTACCACTTTATTTATGAATGCCACATTTCTAAAGCAAGTTGCTGAATCTTGATATGTGTTAAATGTGATTAGTATAGTTAACATGAATTCCTTAATTTCTCCTGAATATCTGTAATTAAATAAATGGGACATTGTAAAACCTGTACCAATTTAGAGCCATTTTAAAAGCATATATATCAAGTTTAAAAAATGTCTTGTCTCATCCCCAAGATGGTCCATAACTTTCTTATTCATTTTATGTCCCAATTACCTCCCTCCACTAACATTTAGGCAAGGTGCAGAGCAAAATCTAGACTAGTTTAGATATAAGTTTCAAGGTAATCCTTTTATGAAGAGTAGTAGATTGTTAAGAATGAGAAGCATAGTATAGTATTTCAGTTACTATTTGTATTGTTATATATAATTATGAGTCACAAGAAGTGGCTAATAATTCCAAATTTTAAATACTTTTATCAGCCTGTTCAATAAAGCAATGGCTAGATCTCAACACTTCATCATTTTAAAGCCCAGTAAAAGCAACAGGAATTCCACCTTTGGAAAGACCAGAAACTGAAACTTTAAATAAAAAAAAAAATCTAAGTCTCTGTCTAGACATGATGGCAAGAACTTTTTCCCCAAATTAAATCATTTTTAGACAATTTCAATAACATACATATGTGAATATACATGTGTGCATGCATAGATATATGTATTTACTTATACATATATTCAAGCACACACTTAGATAATGGATATAGATGTATATGGGAATATACAGGACAAACACGACAGACTGTTCTTCTAACAACATGTGAAAGTAAATTTCACTTTACCTGTTTTCCACAAAAAGGCTTTCCTGGGAGCAAACTGACTGAAAAATAGAAAAAGGCATTGTATCAGATGTTCTGGATGTGCTGAAGGATCCAAAATCCATGCCTGATTCAAAACTACTTAGAATGACATGTACAAATGATGGAAATAAAAATAGGTTAGGGTTAGAGAATAAACAATTTTCATGCAGTAATTGGGTCTGTTTCCATCAGGACTCCTATAGTTTTGAACAGATTGAACCTTGTTGGATGTCATGGTCAGCAGAGAAATGTGCTGAAACTGCTGGAGAAACGTAACACTGTAAGGTCCTCGGTGAATGGTTTCCTCTGGAACTGTAGAGGGCTAGCCACTGACAAAAGTCAAGGGAATGGGTTCAAACCAGAACAGAGCATGCACACTGGACAGGATCCACCGAAGAATGGAAAAGTGTGAAGCCACACTCCTTAGGTTACGGGCTGGCAACAATAAATGCTCATAAAGAAAAGAAAAGAAATTGACTCCATCCTTCTCAAAATTGAAGAAATGTTATTCATTATTAATTGAAGGGGAAGGACAGGAGGCAAAGTTTGACAAAATAAAGCTAATTAGAGAAACTATCAAGTTCCATCTTGTATTTCTAATTTTTTCACATAGAAAAGTAATGATGTTTTTCTTTCATTTTTATTCGCCTGGCATTCATTTGTTTCTCTCCAATGTTTTGTTGTTGATTTTATTTTTTTGTGGTAGTGGGGATAGAACACAACGTCCTTACACTGATCTACATTCTCAATCTCCCTTTATATTTATTTATTTATTTATTATTGGAGACAGGGTCTTACTAAGTCACTAAATTGCCCAGGTTGGGATTGAATTTGCAATCCTCTTCCCTCAACCTCCAAGAGTGCTGGGACTATAATCCAGTGCCACTGTGCCTGGTTTCCAATCTAATATTTAATACAAAATGTAGGGAGGGCAAAATCCAATTATCATTACATGTTGAGGAAAGATGGTTTAAATTTATTAAATACAGAAAGTTTAAGCCTAAAGATAATATTGTGCTGTAGTAATAAATATAGCCATAGTGTTTAGGAAGTAACACAAGACTATATTTTTCAAAGCATTGTTTTTTTATCAAAATATAGTGTAATGCTATGTGCAATTTTTCTAAATTATGAGTGAATTCTGTGTTCAAGAGATAACGACTTATCTGTCCATTTTAAGACAAAATGAAAAGAAAACTGTATTAATGGTATTTCAGTAATTCTAAAACTAGAAGATGCTGCTAATGTAACTACTACTCAGGAAGGTGACAAGAGCTTGCTTTCTCTTTTCATCTAGCTCCAGAGAACATTTCCTTACACTAGGCCAAAGGAATACCTTTAGATATGGTATTTTCCTCACTGGTCTGAAGATTTCACTCAAGGTATCTCTAGAATAATTTCTAGCTTAATCTTCCTATAGTTACATTGTAGTTTTCTATAGTTATACTCTTTTCAAATGTGAAAAAAGAAATCTTGCTTAATCAAAAAAACTAGCCAATTAAAAGAGCAATCTTTCAGAAAATGAATCATTAGATTTTGACACATATTTAGAAAGGGAAACAAATGAAAATATATATGGAATAGGATGTACCGTCAACACTGTCTCTATAAAATTTTCCTTATAGTAAACCAAAGACCTTATCCCCTTTGTTTCATTAGTTTGGTCTTCCTAATAGTTAGAGTCAAGTCATCGAATGGAAAAGAAAGTAAAGTTCTTTCAAATACAAATTATGAGATCCACACCTTGCTACTTCTCTACTCTTGTAGTTGAGAAGAAGTCAATTAAGTCATAATGTTCTGGCTGGGTTATGGAGTTATTAAGAACCTACTTTGAAGGAATTGTCAATGACATACTGACCTCTTCAGACTTGTTAATCTAATAACATGTGTAGGAAATTAAAAATTCAATCTTTGGATTGAAAAGCAAGACACTGGCAAGTTAAGGATATCTTTCACTGAAGTATAATTGAAAAGCACTTTTCTGATTTTTTGTGACAAGGTCCTATGAAAGAGCACCTCATCACCCCTTAACCACATTTCATAAATAAGACAGAGATATTTATAAGCTATGATTCAGTATCTGATGAAAATAAACTTTTTAAAAAGTAGAATTAATAACTTTCACATTTAATAGCAGAGAAAGATAAAATTGTCACAGTAATTAAGTGCAACATTCAAAGCTGTCACTTATATGCATTCCCAGATATAAAAGGCTCCCTTTTTCAAAGAAAGAAAAATGATCTTGCTTAATGGGTTAGAGTTCCCTCCCACATCTCACCCCCAGCTCAGCTTGTTCTGCAAGCCCTTCCATCCTTTCTCCAAAGAGAGAACCCAGCGCATCCTGGCAGGACCATCAGTAAGGTCCTTCCCAAGTCCCTCTTTAAACATATTATTCTCTGTCATCTTCTTGTAAAAACATACATTTCCCAAATGTGTTGTTCAAATAATCCACACTTCCTCAAGATAGCAACATCAGATAGAATTAACCATAAAAGAAGCTTAAATCTTTGCCAGAGAAAAAAACAATATCATGTATTACTAAAAAAGCACAATATTTTATTTGAGAACTAAGTTCCTTTGTATTCTTCCAACTAGTTCTCAAATAGTTTTTTCTTTTCTCAAGATACCAAAACTTTCACACTGCACTTGAAGGCTTTTTCTAGTAAGTTACCAAGGGAGCCTGCATATTTTGATAGTGTTTCTAAATGTAAATCACGCACACGCACACTCACCATCTCATATATGCATGCATACACTTTAGACAACCAGATCCATTTAGAAAATGCTCAAAATCACTTCAATTTTAAAATACATTTATTTTTGCTAAAGCATAAATATTAGGAAGTATTTCTGAATTTTCCATTGTTACTTCAAGTACCAAAAAATAATATACAATTACTTCATGTTCTAATTGACTTAACTTCACTACTTAAATCCTAATTGACAGGGAGGCCTAGGTTAGTTGGCTCCTATTGCAAGTTATGAAGACATAAAATTAATGACCTGCTCAGAAAAAGATTAGAGTACTGTAACATAGTTTCCTTATGCTGGATCCTTTGCATTTGTTTTATAATTGATTTAATATAATTTAATTATTTTCTTATGTAAGAATAATCTTGTGCCTCTACATTTTTGCAAAGGTAATGATCATTTGGGAATCTGAAAAGACAGATAAAAGTCCCCTACAATGTTCTGTCATAGAAGTGATAATGATGCTTTCTTATTTATATTTAAGAAAGTTCACATTGCCCTGTTACACCCTTGAGTGTTTGCATTAATAGAGGATATAATAATATCCTGGTAGTTGAGAGTGGCATTCATGGATTTGTGTCCAAAGTATTGGGTAAGATCTTCTAGATTGTCCCAGGGCTGTTTTGTGTGTTCGTTAGACTAGAACTGGAAGGAAAACCTCTCTCTCTCGCTCGCTTTCACTCTCACTCTCGCTCTCGTTCTTGCTCTTGCTCTCGCTCTCTCGCTCTCTCGCTCTCACTCTCTATCTCATTCTCTCTTTCTCGCTTCCCCTCTGTCTCCCCTTTTCACATCACTTTTCCCAAATATTTTCCAAGGCAAGTTATGTACTGTGTTAGAAAGATGCCCACCAGCCTGTAATGAAAGGCAAAGCCCACCACATAAAGCACAGATTTTCAGATGATTGCTAGTGAGTAATGGAGGACTACCAATACCAGAATGTGAGAACATGGACTTAGCTTGGCAGAGACATTTCCAGGTAATTGTAGCCCCAGTGAACAGCTGACATGCAGTCTCTGGTGAAAGATCCAGAGCTAGAACCATCTCACCATGTCACTAAGCCATTCCCAAATTCTTGACTCACAGAAACCATGAGATATATATATATATATAAGCTTTCGAATAATTTGTCATTGTTATAAGTAGCTAATGAAAGAGAATATCAGTGGTAAAACAGCATGTCTCTATTTGAACTCTAGGGGGAGGAGAAAAGCATTGGATTTTCCCCTTTTCTAGATGTAAGGGTTTAAAACCTTATAGAAGTATGATAAATAATAGCAAAGCTTTCCTTTGATACACACATATGTGCATGACCCTAATAACACACAAATGATACCAGAAACTTCACTTAATCCTCAAAGAACTACTCCATGTGTATTTTGAGTAGAATATTAATTTTAACCATTTTTCCCTATAATATCTGGTTTAAAGCAATGCCAGAAACAGTCTGACACTTCATTTGAACTGGTAAAGCTGGAAATGTTGGCTCCTTGAAAACCTATAACATTTTTGCAAAGGGACGAAACTATAGCATTTTATTTATTTGTTTTTAAATTGTATTTATTTTTTTGAAGCATTTTAAAGAATGTTGCCAAGGGCTGGTGAGATAGCTCAATGGACTAAGCACCTGCTTAGGCAAGAACAGGGCCTGGGGTTCCACCCCTAGCAACACATGCCACACCACTTCTGCCCCAAGCATGCTGAGTGGCCACTGAGACCAGGCCTGGTGACATATGCCTGTAATCCCAGCACTGGGGAGGCTGCAAACGGGAGGATTACTGTGAGTCTGAGCTGCATGGTGATGTCCTGTATTAACTACATAAAATGAAGGGGGAAATAAACAACAAGAATGTTGCCAAGTCATGTTTTGAAAGCAAAGGATTTGGCAAGAGAATTGCACTTTAAAGTTTCTCACATTGAAGTCTGCTTTTACTTGTTTAAAAATTTTGACAGGAATGGTGGTGTAGATCACCAGTAAAGCTCTTGCCTTGTGTGTGTTAGGCCCTAAGTTCCATCCCTAGCAATACACAGACACACAGACACACAGACACACAGACACACAGACACACACACACCTAATGCAGCATGAGACCATCAAGGGCTTCAAATGTCCAAGTTTGTCTCAAGGAAATCTCCAACTTTGGATCCAGTTCCCTGCTGTTGATCCCTTTGGAGAGCTTGTGTGGGAGGGCAGATGTAGCAGAAGTCACTAAGACCTTTCCCCTTGTGAAGACCGCCCTGTGGACATGGGACACAGTGACCAAAGCAAGCCACTGAATGCCCATTTTCGTCCTAGGAAAGTGTCTTGTGAGGGTGTGTTGTATCACCTAGCTCTTGAGTGTCAAGGAATGTGCCACAACTAGAAAAAAGCATAATTTTGATTTTATATCAGGTGTGTGATCCACGTGTTCTCTTTGATATAACAACTCATGCACAAATTGGTTGACTTATTTGACCTGCCAGAACAGAATTATAAGGAAAAATGTTGTGTGTGTGTGTGTGTATTTGTGTGTATATATGAGTAAAAGAGAGAACAAATAACAATGTACAGTGAAAAACTCAGACAGATCTCTCTAGGAAGGTCTTCAGGAAGAAGCATGCTGCTTCTCAGCGCACTACAGCAAGCACCCTTGCTCTATCATGGCTAGGCAAGATCCTCTCAGCACTTCACTCTTCTATACAACAAACACAATTAAAGGCCCAGGGTGTGTCAGGCTGCGCTGTGCTCCACCAAAAATGCTGACCGTAAGAGTCTAAGGGGACTCCTTATCTGCAGAATCATCTAGACATCCAGCTACAACAACCTCTTTTCTGGTCTCCAAATTTCAGAACTCAGCCAGATTATTCTCTCATCAAAATCCTGTTCTAGTGAGTACAAGAAATGTGGTAATGGAGCTCAGTGTGAATGAAATGCAGTGTTCAAAGAGGTAGAATCTTTCCTGTGGCCTCAGATGAAAGGAAAGAGCACTTGCCGAGGGGTCAGAAGTCAGCTTCTCACCACCATGGACGGTAGCCACCTCCCAGGCTGCAGTCCAGTGAGCTGTCTGCTGGAGTCAAATACTCCTCCTGACCTAGCAGAGTTAGAAGGATTAGCCACTGAGAGTGCCACAGAGGGCCTCACATGTTCTCCATAAAAAGTACATATAACACTTAAGGAGCACCCAGGTCATTTTTTGACATGGAAAGCTGTGGTGATTGTTTGCCCATTTAACTTCTTTGCAAATGAATTTAGACTTTATTTTTTTTTTATTTTATTTAGCCTCTTAAATGACTTTTATCATGTGAATAAGCAATTTTAAAAAGCAAAGCCACATCTTTCTTGGAATTTTAATAAAAATGAATTATTTTATGATTATTCCCTTGACAAATTTTTCAGATTTGATTGTCATGAAATTGATCATTGTTGTTGTTATAATTATTATTATTATTAATTATTGAGCTGCAGGATTTGGAATTTAATAGCACTGAGGTATATCCCCAGCTCTTTTATTTAATTTTTAATTTATTTGTATTTTTAATTTTGAGACAGGGTCTTGATGAGCCAAGTTGCCCTGGAGGGGCTAGAACTGGCAAACCTAATGCTTCAGCTTCCAAAGAATACAGGTATGTACCACCACACCCAGTGAAATAAGCATTGTTATCTAACAGTAGTATAATTATCTGTCTGTAAGTACAAAGAACTCAGAAAATACTACACATCTGTAATATATATATATATATATATATATAATCACACATATATATAGTATATGTGTGATTGATAGACTTTCCTTTTGGCAATTCGTTCCTATGCACAATGTTGATGTTAAAAATACACTAGCAGGTTTTCTGCTGCCTACTATGGACGCAAAGGTATTTCTTCAAACCTGCCTCCCCTCTCTACAAAAGTTCTGTTTTTCCTGGAGAGAGATCACACCTCCCTACTCCTGCTGCTCACTCTTGCACCCATGGCTAGTTTCCTACTCCTTCCCTGAGCCAAGTCCTTGTCCAGAAACACCTCTTAGCGTCTTCAGCTCCGATTGTCCTCTGGCTCTGACCTCCTGCCTCCCTGCCAGCTCACTGTCTGCAGAACGAGGCTGCCTTAGTGCTGATGGCAGAACCACACTAGAGAGGCAATGAAAACAGCTACTCACATCATGGGCAAATATTCTCTCCCTCACTCTCTGATACTCCTCTTCTCTCTCTTCAATTGATTTACTTCGTCTGTCATCTCTAAGTAGATGCATTCTGTTTTTCTGAACAGAAAAAAGAAATCAGGAGAGTTATCCAAGTTGAGTTGATAGAGATCTGCAGTTAAGCAACTGTCAATGAAGAATAATAAATATCTATCTAAATAAGTGGAGCACAATTCTTGCTCCTTCTAGTTCCTAAGGAGACTGTGTGGAGTGAGGTATGTGTAGTGCATGCGAGCCTAGCACATAGCAGTGGGATGTGTTTGGTGTTCTTGGTTGCTTCCTTGGTTGGTGTAATTAGTGCAATTAGATGTTTCCAAAATGAATGTGCCTGAGTATGCCTGAGGTATTCAGCCAGTTCAGGGAAGAGGTGGTTCACCAGGGGTTAGCTTTGTTTCCTTTATTAACCTGTGTGCTACTGACTTTAAAAAAGAAGGAAAAGAAGGAAGGAGATGAATGGAAAGAAAAGAATAAGTATCTAGTTCAAGAAGAGTTAGAGAAGAAATGACTTTGAAAATGGGACTAGAAAAAAAGCAAGTGAGTAAAGACAGCAGGGTACAGACAAGGAGGTGTGGATATTGTTTCTTCCTCTCCTTTCATTTTTTAAATTCATTCAATGACTGATTCTATGAGATGTCCTTGGCATATAAAGAAGGGCCTGGGGCTTAAAACTAAATCTAGTGCATTTGTTAGTTGATCAGGATCAATACCAAGTGAAATAAAGAATCAATTCAAAGAACCCAGCATGAGGACTGCTGTTCTTCTTCCTCTCCTCTGAACCATGCTTTGCTTCTCAGGTGCCTGCCCTCCCATCATCCTTTTCCATTCCTGAGAATGTGCTCTGCACTGACCACATTCATCCATCCATTCAGCAGACAGCCACCAAATGCAGGACACAGGCACATGTCTCAGAGTCAACATGAGCCATGGTGTAGCTCAGTGGTGGTGGGAGGAAATGAGATACAAATCATGAACAAGTTGAGAAACAAGTGCATCCAAGATGCATATACTGGCTTACGGCGACTCATTATTAAAATGAGAACTTGATTGAGATCTACATTGTCTTACCTTTAAAAATTCTATAGCCATGTCATTTTTTAAAAACAAAAAATCTATTTTGTCAGCGACAAAGTATAACTGCAATGGTATTTATATGGCTTTCTGCTGTGCTTATTATTTAAGATTTGTTCTCCCTTGTCATAATTTACTTAGTTTTCTTCCTAATCACCCTGAAATTCCACACCCCCCATCTAGAGAAGAGATTTAGTAAAGTCTCTTTACCCTGGCCCAGGTAACATGATTAAAACTACTCTAGAACAAGAACACAGTGTTTTGTCACAAGCAAAATACACAAGGATAAAGTTCTGCTATGTTTCATGCAAAATGAGCAGACAATTTACATAAACCATAAAACATGGGAGGGAGAAGGGGTGGGAGACTAGAACATGAACTCAATTCTTTTCTGTGAAGACTTATTTTAGGATAGTTGCAAAATCCACCTGTCCTCACCATAACAAGGTTTGTTCTTTACAGCTACACCGGTTGATCATCGGTCCGTATTGATAATCCAGCTCAATTTGTGCACAACTGAAGGACAAAGCTGTAGGGAGTGGAACGACTGCCATAGTTACACAGACATCTGGAAATGCGACTGACAAAGCTTTTCCCCACAGCATGGAGCCTGTGGCATCCCGACCCCCCCCCCAAGACATGCAGCAGGATCTGCGCCAAGCACCACCCATGCAGCCCAACACAGAGCCATTGCTAAAGCAACCAGGACATGTTTTTGGCTGTCCATTGAATGCCAAAGGAGGAGGCAGGTAAAAGCAAGGGGGCTGGAGAAAGGAGGATAATATCAGAGGCAGGGGAGAGTCAGGAGGGAAGAAGGGGACAACAAAGGAACAAAGGGACGACAAGAACATCAGTCAGCCCACCTTCAAAAACAACAATGTCAGCCACTCTCAAACTTGAGAACCAACCTGATTGTCTTCTTTATCAATACTAGAGTTATCTCGCTTCAAGATAAACCGCTTCTGGGATTCTTCACCTTTTTCATCTTTTAAATGTTCACAAAACCTTTGCTCTGGTCTGCCAGCAAAGTAAAACATATCAATAAAAAGGATTTTTCCTCATTTAACGTTATTTCTTAGTGTTGTTTTTCCCCCATAGTGGCATTTAGTTATTTTTTTAAAGTTTACACGTGGCTCTAATATTAGAGTCGCTGGCAATATACAAGCAGGTAATAATATGCCATTTCACATATGCCATTCAAATACCTTTAGCTGTTTTGAATTGGAAGTCCTGTATGCTGCATGCTGATCACCACAGCTGAAGTTAAAGAAAAAATTAAAAGGCCCGCACATATATAGTGCACTGATGTTTTCTTTATTTATTTTGGTCTCTATCACTCCTGAATCCAAAGAGAATTCTGCTCATTTTCTTAAACATATTCAGAATTTGAGAGTACCTTAATCTACCATAGTTTAGAAACTGAAAGCATAACCTCCCATTACCTCAGGAGTTTTCAGAATCCACAGCAAAAGACCATTTCAAAGTGGTTTCTATTTTTCTCCAGTGATCAGTGTTCCCAAATCTGGCTCCCCTATACTCCGAAATACCTGACTACGTCCTGGAATCAGTAATGTGGACAACTACAGATACTTAGTTTAAAAAGAAAAAAACTTAATTGTTGGTTAGTATGGGAGAAATGCCCCAATTAATTACATTTTATTGATTAAAAGACTCTTTAAAATTTCGCATTATTCAAGAAAAGGTATGTATTTCTACATTAATTTCTCATGATAGTCACTGTATACACATGAACTCAGTGTGTGACTTGGACATGGGTTTAGCTATAGAGGAACTGCTAAAACACTTTTCCCTAGTTTAGAAAGAGTTTCAATTTATGACTCTCATTAAAGTGACTCTGTCATGTTTGATTATGTATTACTTCTAAAGTGCAAGGATTTTTCTGTACCTGTTGGATTCATTATGCCATTAGCCATAGGGGCAACTTTATGGTGTCTAGAGCTTAAGGTGGATGATCAGTAATTAGCACAAAAATTCATCATTTGCGTACATCTTTAAAGTAGTCACAAAGCACTTGGGGAAATAAAAAGGGAGTAGTTTAAGCTTAGATTTTAAACCCTGGTATGAAGCATTCTCTCCTTAAATATCCATACATAAGTTATAAAACTACTGATGTGCAGACACCAACAGAAAGCAGGAATGATATCAATTATAGTTTCAAAAACTGTGTAAGGTTGTGAAGTGATGTGATCTTATTTAACTTTGGAGTAAAAGTTAAATGGAGTAAAATGGAGCAAAAGTTTGATGCTGCAGAAGTCAAAAAATTTTGCCACTTTAAAGAAAAGGAAGCCACCTCCTAGTGATTCTTTGACCCCAAGTTTACAGTTTTGCACACTAAACAATAGCCCTGGAGCATCCTGGCCACAGGCTCACACAGACTGGGTGCCAAACTGCTGTGACCTCACGGAACACAATGAACTGGACAATTTGAAACCTCGATTGAAAGAATAATAATCACATCACCTTGGTGACTAATATAACCAATTTGCACTAAAATGAATATATAACAAAATATAACAGGCAGCTTGGAGGTGGAAACATGATACCTAAAATCCAAACCTAGGGAATGAATGGAAGTGTGCTTCACAGAGAAGCTCGTAAAGCACAGTGAAGAAGTGAAACCCATTTTGGTAAGGAAAAGTCACAGTACACTTAAATTAGTAAAGTTTCAAATAGTATCACACATGATGTGGCTCACCAGAAGTAGCAGAAATCCTCCAGAACTTATGTTAGCACCTCAACATCCTAGCCAAAGCCTGTATATCATCACATCATTTTCCTTTTTTATAGCAAGTGAATTCTGATGTTGACTTAAGTAAAAGTGTAGACTGCATCAACGTTGGCTAGATTTCCTCCCTATTCTCCACAGTCCAGAAAGCTCCAGTAAATGGAATTATTTCCTCAAGTTCACAGGAATACTTTTTGTATTTGGCTCTAACAGTTTGAAACCATTTGTGTAGAAATAAAAGGTCTGAGAATGTCAACATTTTATTCCTAGTATAAAGTGAAATTGCTTTAGAGTAAAATCTTCTTTAAAATTACAAGTATTAAGGGGCAGGGAGATGGCTCAGTGGAATAAGCCCTTCCCTGGCAAGTGCAAGGGCCTGAGTTCGATCCCTGGTTCCGAAAAAAAAAAAAAAAAGACAAGTATTAGAATGAAATTTCACAATATTAACTTGAATTATGATGTAACACCTATGTAGGCAAGCCTTTTTAAAAATACTTAGTCCTGGCCAAGCATGGTGGTGCATGCCTATAATCCCCAGGATGAGGCAAGAGGATCGCCATGAGTTCAAGGCCAGCCTGGGCTACATAATGAGACTCTCATTCCTCACATAGGAAACATTCAACTGAATGAATACATTAATCAATGTATGAGTTAATGAAAATTTAGCACAGAAGTCCCATAAATAACTGTAACTCAGTTAGATCTAAAAAAATAGTCACTGAATAAGGTATGAGGTCACACATTTTGTAGTTATAAAACAGAATGTGAAAATCTATTTAATAAGCATTTAAATTCAAATTTAGCCAGTGTGGTGGAGCGTGACTGTCACTCCAGAGCTCAGTAGAACGAAGCAGGAAGAACACTGTGTGTTCAGGGCCAGCTTGGGCTACACAGTGAGACCTTGCCTCCAAACAGCAAATTTAGAGCATCAGAAAATTCTTTTAAAATGTGGTTTTAAACTTCATTTTGATCAATATTAATTATGTTTCTAAAAATTCTAAGGCTATCTAAAGAAAGGAAGTGGAAAAGAAAATTTTAACTTCCTTAGTTTCAGATCTGTTCAAGGTATCCGTTATATAAATGTTATTTTTCCTTCCCTTTGAATAGGTTCTTTCACTTTCACAGTAAAAACTGAGATGAAGAAAAGGACAGGAGAGGGAGAGAAGGGGAAGAAAGATAAGTTCATGTACACATGCAGGAACAACTAATTTGAAGACAACTTCATGCAATATAGCAAACACTGATGAATTCCTATTGATTTGTTTGGTGAAGTTCTGTATCATGTCTCAATTCTTTTTGATATTTTGTATCATCTTTAATAAAAAATGAACTCATCTTTAGAAACATGAGAGAAACTAATAAAATTTTATTTTAGAAATTTAATTTTCATTTCTTTATAGCGGTATTTATTTGTTTTACATAGCTGGATTTTGCCAGGGAAACTACATCACATAAAAAGTGCCAAACGATTTTTTTTATTAATAAAGTGAATAGTTAGATCATGGTGTTTCTTTATCTGATAGACATAAATTATGCAAACTCCTGTCTCAATAACTGCTTTTCAAATCTCTTGTTTATTCTCTTTTTCAAAATTAGCATGTAATATTTCAAATCATTAAGGTGTCTATTTTTATTTAAAAAATATTTGAGTAATCATGAAGTAACCATTAGCAGTTGACTTAGAAAAAATGGAGAACTAATAAGATTTATGCAGGTTAGTATCATAGAGAACTATTTATGACTCTAAACCTGAAAAATAGTTTTGTTAAAATTTATGCAAACTTAGGTATGCCACTAAGAGGTGCAATGACTGAGCTGAAAATCACTGTAATGCACTCCTGTATTACAGCATTTAGGAATCCCTCCTCCAACTAGTCTAACACCATAAACTGTCTTCAAAGCTATAAAATGAATAAACTAAAATAATATGTTATAGGCATGCATATATCAGATAATGGATTACTTTTAATGCATTACTATGGGAATGTAACTCCAAGAAAAAAAAAATTCTTCCATCAACCAAAATCTTGCTAAACACTAAATTGGTGATGGTTAGACTTTCCTCCATACCTCATGGCTGTGAGTCATGTTGCCTAATATTTCACTTCTGGTAGATTTTCATGCATGAGTATTATTTTTAGCTTTCTCTAATCATCATAAAAAACACAGAAAATAATGTTTAATCCTGAAAGTGATTTCCTCTTCTAATACAAAAATAAGTTGTTTCATAACTCATAGAAGGTATCTACTGTGAAACTCATGGCCAGTGTGTTGTGAGTAGCACTGACACATACAGTAAGTCAGTGTTTTGGCTTCCTCAAGTGGTGAAAAGCTAGAATTAAGCCCTCATTGTTTCTTTATTAGACCTTACTCAGTGATAGAGAAACTGTGCAGCTAGTGAAGGCAATTTAGCCATATCTTCAGGGGAATCAATTGCAATTTCTGATAGATGTTTGCACCTTAAAACTGAAAGGATATAAATATTCATTACTACTATTATTATAAATTTCATTTTTTTTGGGCAGAACCAGGGATTGAACTCAGGCCTTTACACTTGCCAGGCAAGTGCTTATTCTACTGAGCTATCTCCTCAGCCCCAATTTACAATGGTTTATTTTCTTGAACCGGGGATTGAACTCAGACCCTTGTGTTTGCCAGGTAAGCACTTATTCTACTGAACAATCTCCCCAGCCCTTATTTATTCCATTTTTAAGGATGAATCCAAGAGAAATCATAATAATTGAATAGAGAGCTCTACTGTTTGCAACAATAAAACCGTAAAAATCTATAGTGCACTGGATTAGTAATTGAAGGTATGTAATATGTAATATACAATATGTAATGTACAGTTTTTAGAGTGATATCCAATAATACTAACTAGCACATAAATATTTTCTAAAACTCATGGACATAGGTGGATTATATTTATTTAAAACACTAAAATGCATAGTAAGGTGGATAATAGTAACAGTAGGTATCTCTGGATGGTGAGATGACAGGCAATTTTATTTCTAATTCTTTATAATTGTGATTATTATAATGTCTTTATAGTAAATGAGAATGAAAACTATTAGCTCAGAAAGATAGGAAACCAATTCAACAACTTAATAGTGATTTATTAACAATCATTAGACTATGGACAATTAAAATAGAGTTATATTTTGATTATTGACAAAATATTCTTCCATAGCATGTGTTAATATATCATCAGCTAAAATGCATATTAATATGTTTTTCTTTTATATGAGCAGAATATATTTATTAAGGGAAA